AAATAGATTTTAAATAGTATTAAGTATTTACATTTTTTTATTTTCAATTAATTATAAGTCCTAATAACTATTCCTAATAACTGATAAATAAAATTAAGGCTTCAAGTCCAAAGGGTTCTTTACGCCTTTTGTTAATTTTGTAAAGTTACTGTGGAAGCATGATTTTTTTAATTATAATTTGACCATAATAAATAAAATATATAATAAAGAAAAATAAATAATTTGTAAATTTTTACTAAAAAAAATATTTCAACTTCATGTTCACAATACACATATACAATGCTACTATATCCCAAACCAGGTGCTTTAACTGTAGACGCACCTACATACTGCGTAGATCTCATAAATTTCCCACATTTAGTTACTGATAAGTGAGACATAACAGTGCCAAAAAAACAAAATAGAGTAAAAATAACACATTTACATTTTTTGGCAATATATTTTATTAAAATTATTATTAAAATTATTATCTAATAACACTAATCCCCGCTTCTTTCATTCCATCAAATTTTATTTGTTGTTATTAAAGTGCTATGGAATCGCACTATAATGCTGCAAACGATGCATAAATACTGTATTAAATTTTTTGCGTGATTTTGGTAATTATTTCTAAAAATTCCAGAAAAATAAATAAATTGGAAATATACAGTAAAAATAAATAAATAAGTAGAAAATAAAAAAAATATATAAATATAGAATTTAAAGTGATTAATAACTATATCATTTATATAATTCAAAATTCTTTAAAATATAGTCTCAATGTTAAAAATTTTTTTCCAGTGTAGATTTAAAATAACCTAAGACAATTTTTTTGGAAATTTTAGTTAAAAGATAAACAATAATCAGTCACAGTTCCGGTAATCTAGTAAGTCTCATAAATTTTCCTTTCTTTTTAAATAAGGAAAGAGTATTTAAAAGAAAGAAGGAGCTTATATTGGGGGTGCTTTTAATGCCGGATTTGAGAACTTTAACTCTGAATCTTAAGAGGAAGATGTTGGATTCAAATGTCGTAACTAGTAATCACACCTATTAGTAGTTTTCAGCCCATTAAATATAAATTTAAAAGAAAACTTGTTGTATTTGCACTGTTTTAGGAAATGCATTCATTTTATTTAATATTTATTGGATTAGCTTATATCAAATTTGAATACAATTATACCTGTTCTTTAAATTTTTTAGATTATTGCTTTCAAATAAATTTTAATTATTATCTCTGG